GACGTTGTAAAACAAGTCAATTCACTTCGTGAACTCGGCCACCAGGCTACCGTTTTTTTTGGCGGTAACCATGATGGTGGTCGAGTAGATCATGTTGTGCGGGGTGGAGAACCCTCACTCCGCGCAAGGGGGATGATCGCACCACGTTGTGTTAAAATGGTCAAGCACCCTCGAGGCAGTTACACAGTGGTTACAGCTGTCTCTGGAAGTGAAAGCACCAGAAAATAAATTAAGTCATACGCAGCTGGCATCCTGGCATCCGTACGCAAGGAAGTAAGCACAAGATGCCTAACACCCTCACCAGGATGCAGCGCACTCTTCATGCAACTCGCCGAATATCTCACGGCGCTTCACGCTTGGTGATGTGAGAGCCTGGTCCGGTGAGACCCCGGCGTGCTCCGTCCCGGCTTTGTAGGGATGCGAGGTCAATTGTCTGACGATTACGGCATGCACGACTTTGAGTACACCCCCCCTCTTGTGCAATCTCTTCTGTCCAGCCGAATCAACGACCACTGACTCCCATCAAATATATGAACCTGTAAAATCTACATGTACACCCTCTGCGAGATGCGACATTGGACTGCTTCTCGCAGGGAGGCCGTTTTCACTTAGCAGGCAAATACAGCTCATGCGATGAGATTATGAACATAGTAAAAAAAAAAGAATCGAATCGGAGTTCATACATTCTCAGTACATCTGCATACCGCAGGATACACGAAAGAAATGATCAAAAATAGAAAAACAACTTCTAGAGGACAACGATCGTGCCACCTGCATTGGCAGAAGCGACAAATCGCCTCGTTTGATTTACGACGTCTCCCTCGCCCCCTGTCAACCGCCCCGTGAAAAGGCTGACGTTTGCAGCATACTCCCTTGCCCGCCCCTTTTGCCCCCTACCAGAGAAATAAAAAAAAAGCCGTCACCACAAGCCAGAGACTCACTGCTCGCCGGTGACCAGGCTCTGCTCCAGGCATGACTGCTGCTTAACATATCCATCCCCCGTTCAATACGCCTGCAGATATTGTGTTTGACAAAACGAAATGACCGCCATTGTATCTCGTCATTCCAGCTGTGCATGTAAAAAAAATGTTGTGCACTACCGTACGCGTGAAGCGGGACGAACCCCCGAGAAAATGCTCTGTAATAGCCTCGCCCAAGCGAGCGCGAAAGACAGGGCGTAAATCTTCACATGATTAAGTTAAGACTTGAACCGATACGATCAGCCTTGTCCTTGTCCGTTCGCGCGGGCATAAACATGATACGAATACGCTCCCCCACACCTTACAGGCGGGCGCACAGATGACATTTACGTTGAAAAAAAGAGGGGAGCTCTCATTGGCTGAATTCGTTCGAAACAAACGGGGCATGACAAGCGTGGAGGGCGGAACCCCCATGCGCCAAAAGAAACGCTACGCATCTACAACGTCGGCGGGTGCTACATTCAAACTCTTTTTTTTTCACCATTCGTTTTGCACGCTACGCGTGCCATCAACAAAACACTGTTAACCTCCCGCCCGCCGCCGTGACCACCGTATTTAGGCGGTCACTTAACCTGCTGTATGTACCCCCCCCCCCCCCCCCCCCCCCCCCCCCCCCCCCCCCCCCCC